TCATCTGAAAGACCAGTTTCCAGACAGCAATGCCTCATTGGTCTGCTTCAAGAATAGACTACATCTAGGATGCAGAATGAAAGACGTTTTGTGGAAGGACTGCTTAATGTAAATTAAAAGGTTCAGCCCTCATGCCACACCTGGCACTCATGTGGAGAGAACCAAGATAGTAAAAAAAAAAAAAAAAAATAAAAAATTAAGGCAGTTTACAAAGGGAAGCTGACTTCTAACACCTCAAAGTCAAGGAACTTCTCAAAAAACACAAACGCAAGGGAAGAAGGCTCTCCCTCCCGTGGGTTAAGACTTGGCTTGCTTTCTCAGGTGCAAGCATTCAAACCAGCAGTTTTAAAAAACACAGCCGAAGAGAAGCAGATGTCTCAGCACTCCAGGTGACCCAAACAACATGTACATTGGTGTTTCAGATGGAAGGAGAAGCAGGTAAAGAACAAAAAAGATCCATTCAGTATTAAAACTTGTGCAAAAATAGCAAGTGAAAAAAATGAAACCACATGTATGCAAACATTTAGGCAAAATCATCAGAGCAGTGGAACCCCCTGCTTCGTACTCAGTAGTATTTTTCTTTAAAGTAAGGCAATAAGAAAATGAACATGCAGGCAATGATGTGTTGGAGCTGCATGTTTGAGATGACAGATACAAAAACATGAGAGTTGTTTACAAAAGGTGTAAACGCCATCGGTAATTTCAGAAAGGTTTGTGATCCTATTAAGGAAAATGTTAAAGCTTCTAGGAAGGGGGCTGTAGTTCAATTCTTTGGCAGTAGTGGTTTTTAGGCTAACAGAAGCATTACGAATATGCACATGTGGGTTCTCAGTTGGGAAACATCTCCTGGGACCATTGTTTAGCTGATGCTGAGCTGTGCAAATCCTATAAGTTTGCCATCATCAGGAATATCTGAGCCTTCGACACCAGATGCCTGAAACACAAGGAACAGAGATCCAAATAGCAACATACATGCTCTACCCTCCCATACATACCACGGTACGTATCACAAGGTGTATCAGATACGTAGGTCTGGGGAGGGAGCAGTCCCAGGACAGCCTTGCACTGTGTTCAGCAGCTGGCACTACCCAAAGTTTTAAAATTGAGCACTTTTTTTTTTCCTTTTTTTGAAGCTAGGAAGAGCTGGGACTGAAGTTTTGCCAACGTCTGCTCGGACTAGGGCTACATGCTCTACCTGGGGCAAAACAAGTGAAAACTCCTTACAGGAAGAGTCAAAAATAATGGCACTTACTGCTTCACTACCAATAAACTGGTTACACTTTCACTCTTCCACTATAATTACCTCTGAATTTCACCATCTCTAAAGGATTCATCTTCTCTCCTACCCTTAGTTTTGGCTCTCTTCTTTTGGCCCCTGCTCTTTTTCTTTTTTTTCCCCTCCCCCCTTCATATCCTCCTCAGAGACAATGTATCTGGACCCTCCTGTTCTCCTCCAAGAAAGGAGTCTGTGGCTTTTCTTACCCCACTTACCTACCCTGAAGAATTTCTGCCCTTTCTGGGCAAATGCACATTCAGAAAAATACCCTTTTTGTAACATTTTGATATTCTTTTTAGCCAGGATAAAGAAATGTCTGTGTTAACACATAACCTCACGCAGTTTAACCCAGCTGCTGCTTAGAGGACACAAGCAGGGAGCTTTGCATTGTCTACTGTGCGGCACAGGAAGCTTTGGGAAAGGAGGGAGGATTTAAAGTGCATATATTAGATGCCTACAGTAGGCATCACAGGCATCTATATGCAACGCCTTCTCTTTGCAAGTGACAACTTGTTCAATTAGGGAACAGGAATTAAATACCAGTTTGAAAGTGACGGATCTGTTTGCTTGGGGCTCTTCCACAATTTTCTGCAAATTAGCTGCAACTGAAATCACACACACACACACAAAGAAAATGGGCAAATATTAGGACAGGCTAGAGAAAAACATCCCAAACTCATTAGGCCTCTTTCTGTTACTGAAACTTAGAACTTTAAAATGATAAAAAAGTTTAGGTCTCAATTAGACTCAATCTACTTAAATCTAACGCTTTAAACTGTGAAAATGCTGTCATTTATTACTATATGCTGCTTTTTCAGAGGTAGTTATTTTTTCCTGGATGCCGTGGGATTAGTAATAACAAACTGCCCAACAGCACCTGGAAATCCAGTTAATGTTGCACTAGCAGCCTTTCCAGATGTTGCAGCCTGTGTATAAGGAACAGTTTTGCTTGCTGATGTCAAAATACACAGGCAGTGCTGACAGTTTAAGAGTCTCACCTGTGGCACAGGACACATTTATTTAGCAAACTGTTGCCAGAGGTAGCTGTTCATACCCATACCACACGTGCTGCTGCCCTAGTGCATGTGCACTTAATTCCTTCCCTAGCCCTACTTGAAAAAAAATAAAGCCTGGCTGATTCCAGTCCCAGACCTCTCTTTTGCAGGACCTGTGAGCAGTACAGGCTTGTGCAGCAATTTGGCAATGCATATATGTCAGATGATAATGATTTAGCTAATGCATAAATTAGCCTTCATTTTGCATTATAAAGAACATTTGCTTCATAATCTTTCCAACTAGATCGTATTCTTGTGTACTGGGGGTTGCTTAACTGGGGGTGGCACAGAACTGCCACTAGACTTAACAGCAGTTTTCTAGAGTCATTGGGGTAGAGAATCAAGGCCACAGCAAACCCTTCTAGCACTCACTAAGCAGGTCATTTTAAACATGCAAAAAATGACTGAAATAGTTAAAACAGAAAAATAATATGTAATTACCTATTACCAGATCTCTGCCATCAACGAGACCTGCTGAAATGAGTTCTTGAGACACACCGTCAGCAGTATCTGTGGGGGAGAAACCCAAGAGCCAGTCATCACATAAATTGTCCAACTGACAAAGGCATCACATAAAAACCTAAAGTAGCTTGTACAAACCAAACAGCAAAAGCGCTCTCAAAAGACAGGTATTGGGGTGTACACTGGGTGCAGTTAGACAGCTCTGAGCTATGCTAACTCTGAGTTGGAATTCATTGAAGGGCTGAACTTTGGTCATGTTCACGAACAGTTTAACAAGAAGGGTCTTCTCAACAGCAGTGCTCCCAGCCCAACCATAAGGTAAGACCTTTAGGAAGGCACTGTGGAAGGACACACGCTCATGCAGGGTTTCCATACACACAACTCCACACCACCAAACACAAAACTTCTTCACCAAAACCACCTTCACACACTGCAATTTCCCACCAGCTCACCTCTCCCTGGGGTAAATTCAAATCGAATATCATTGAGCTCTTTTTTTGAATTCCTGCAGAAAGAAGAGAGTTTTATATAGAAGAGACCATTTCATTGCACTGATGGGTGCTCAAAACCGTCATTGAATAATCAGTCTGTGAAGAGATGCGAGTTCACTGCACCCTTCCCCTGATAGGGCAGAGACTAATGACTGGGGCGTGCATCTGGAAGGAGGGCTCTCGGCACACTCTGCCTCTCAATCTGACAGAACTTGAGTAGGCTGAAGTCCAGGATAAGTGAGCGCCACCTCTGCTACAAAGCCACCTTGTTCCACTGTCTCAGCAACTCCTGTCTGTCAGCAGATATATCCTTGGAGCACATCCTTCAGAAGAAGGATGCACTCACTGACTGCAGATGCACACACGTGATGCAGCTGTCTGGGAATGACCGGGAGACGATGCTCGGAAGTCTCAGGCCAATGCCTATCAACAAGCGAGATGCCTACAGAGGTGAGAGGCAGGTTCCTTAAATGAGAAGTGTCAGCATGTGTAATGATAGTAGAATGTGCCTAGAATCCTTTTTCTGCCTGTTTCTAGGGACACAGACCAGAATCCATGCCTTGAATTGGGTAAAAGCTCTTCCCTCTCAGAACTGGCTGAAGTCTGAAGTTGTGCCCAAATACTAAGATGGTCCAGCACAAGGCCAGAACCCTGGAACCCTGATCCCCTTGAGGGAACCGAGCTAATTCCTCCTTTCCACCCTGTTAGACTTTAGGAATAGTTATACAAATATCACCACCTCTTTCAGACTACAGCTCTTGCCAAACTGAAGTAGTGGATGAGACAAGCTGAAACTGCTTTTCTGGATCCCAACAGAGTGGATGAAATCCAAGATGACAAACAACATATAACCACCACACTTCTAATTAAAAGGCAGATGGCAAGATGCCCTACAGAAGTCTTCCAGTGTCCCTCTCTACAAAGGCTCACTTTGACAGAACAGGTCAGTTTTGTGCCCTTACCTTAACCTTAGTACAAGGCTGATGGGGACTTTTGTATCTTCCTGTACCGGAGCTGCAGCAGGGGCAGGTGGGGCCTGCAATAGGATTACATCATTTTAAAGCAGATTAACATTTCCTTTCTCTGGTTTTAAAACTACAGATAACCTTGAGCAACTATAACTACAAATTAAAGTTTAACTCATCATTGGAATCATGACACTACAGTGAAAAAGATGAGTCTACTGAAACGGGAGAACTTCATTCTTAAATAGTAGCCCAGGAGGTGTTCTCTGCAATTGTCTTGAAAAGACTAAAAGCTACACAACTTCAAGAAATGCCAAAATGGCAGGAGACTTCAGAAGTGCTAAGTGTAAAGACTGCTGCTTTGCATCAAAACTTAAGGGTTTTTGGTATTCATGACAGCTTCAAGACTCCTGTGTTTCACAACCCCTGCCCCAAACATCTGATTTAAAAAACCAATACAATTGTGAAGAGTACTTCGGAAATAATTTAACTGGCAGATTAGCACATACTCTCAGTTACTTTTTTTGTGAAATCAAAGGCTTTAAGAGCATCTAGCTGCAATTTTATAGCTGCCTATTCTCACTTCTAAATTACTTCTGAGTAATTATTGGAACATGTAACCAAAGCATTTTATATTGGTCAGCAGATTTCCCGTAGGAAAGATCAGAAAGGTCTATCTTTACAGCCTTTGTGATACTTCCAGTGAAGGGCTAATTGCTAATCAAGGTCCAACAAAAACACCCAAACAAAACAGAGAAGCATTGGTCACTCTTCCACTGTGCAAGTCATCTGTACTGCACATGCTGAGGCAGGGATTTTAAATCTGCAGTAACAAGACAGACACAATCCTAGGCTAATAATTTAAGCCTAGAAGTCTTGACCATACTTTTTCATCTAGATCACTTGCTTTTTCATGAGAGAAAAAAAAAATAACCCTTTAAGACTAGTATTTTACGCCATCTCTTGGTGCTCTTGTGCCAGCAACGCAGCTCAGGGCTTCTGATCACATTGTTGTTTCTGTTGAAGCTCAAAGCTTTACCAGGTCAGTGAAAACAAACAAGGGTTCATAGAGAAGCCCAGAGGTCTGCAAAACATTATCCAAGGAGCTACAAGAACCAGAGGAGAGCTATAAAGAAGAACACACTGATACAAAGAGCTGTAAAAAAAGCACACCCTGACATAAAGCTATGAAGTTCACCTTAGGACAAGCTACCAATAAGCTAACTATTGGGCACTAGTGGCAAGATAATCTGCTAGTGCAAATCAAAACACTTTCACTGAGACTGACACTGCTACTTCATTTTACCAAACAGAGAGTCCTGGCTTTCACTGCTGCTGGTGTTTCAACTGCTGCATAAAATTCAGGGATTAAACGCTGGCCCTTTTCCAACAGATTTGAACAGGTTTGATTTAAGTATTAAAGCTACTTTTCATGTAGCCAAGAATGTCAGACCCCAAATCCACTATTTTTTTTAAACGACTAATGCACTGGAACTGTTTTGTAAACAGGAATATGAGCTGACTGCAGTGAAGTGATATACGTATCTTTTTACATTCTTTAAAAATAATGAAACATTTCTAGGAAGGAATAAGTCTCAGAGCTATTTTTCTGACCAACGTTGCCAAGTCTCTTCCCCTTGGGTCTGCCAAAGGGTGATGGTAGCTTGGCTCCCTCCAACAGTGACAGCCTCTCCCCACCAGCAAATACAAACATTAGTGTCTTTTATAAAAGCAGTGCCATCATTCAGGAGTCTGGCAAACTGCAGTGCTTTACCCCAGCAAACCACAAGCCACATTCCAAGTATCTCAGAAATGATTCGGGTTGGCCATTTTTCTCTTTTTAACACAAGTCAGAGCTCTTTCCTGACTTCGCTTTGCCTGCCTCTCTGACCTATATCCTATGCTTTGGGGTGATGTAGCTAAGAACTAAGACAAACTTGTCAAGCTTTTGCTTCCCTGTACTTCCCCGTACTTCCCCCTCAAAGGTCCATTCTCCCCTCTCTGCTTGAAATGGAAGTGTTTGAAAGCCCTACAAGGTTCAGAGCCTCCCAAAGATAGAGTTTCTTCACCATTTCTAACTGCTAAAAGGACAATTTTAACCTAGGCCTCCTGTCTCTCTTCTGAAGTCTGGAGAACTTGCACATTCTTCCTCTCACTTTTCTCTCCATCTTATCCCATAGATTCCAGCGATGCCAAGACACACAATCAGAGCCCATTTGTGCTGCACCTTAAACAACAGGAACAAGCAGCCACCACTTAAATGAGACTCTTTTTTTTTTTTCCCTCACCTTTAACCTTGCCTCAAGCCAGAATCCACACCCTAAACAGCATAAAAAGTTACTGCTCACCCACAGAGTAAGAATGAAAAACTGCTAAACCCACATTGACTGTCTTCCTTTTGCAAGCCACCAGGGCAGCTGCCACTTCCACATAAGCAACAGCACTAAAGCAATTCCAGACAAGCAACTTTTGGGGCTTCAGATCATTTTAGCATGTCTGGAATACAACAGCTAGGTGCAGAGCTGGAAGTTGGTACGAAGGGTTTCTGATCTTACCTGGGCTGCTGCTGGGGCTGCTGGAGGAGCCTGACTAGGTGGAGGTACAGCAGTTTGAGGTTGTGCAGGTACTTGTCCTGCAGCCTGAGGTAGTTGAGTAGATGCCTGTGCTGGAGCATTGAGTGAAGGACCTGGAGGCTCAGCTGATGGGAATAGCTGCAAGCAAAAAGGCATTTTAATGAGAACAGGAATTCAAGAGTTCTGACTCAAGCACCAGCTTTCCAAAAAGTGCTTGTTTGCCACATAAATCACTTAGAGAAGTTCCATGCCAAGGGCACTCCCAGGCTTCCAGGACACTAACACTGATCCCAAGTTGGTGTTCAAAGGATTTATGATTCCTCATGTCCAGGGACCCCTTCTGCCCTGACATTTGCAAACTTTACTCACCAGTAAAGGATAAGAAACCAAGATAGCAGCATGACTGTGGATCTTGGACAAAAAAAAAATACACTCTGCAGCTAGCACGGCTAAATGCACACAGATCATATCCTAGCTTGGACGAAAGCTCCCTATCCTTTGGTTTCCCCCCTTCTTGGAATCTGAGTCCAACTTATATTTCCAAGTAGCCATGCAGTCACAGCAGAGCAACTCTGCTTTGACTTGTAGTTCCTTTCAGAGAACACAGCCTAGGAAAGCGTTAAGATACTCAAAATGTCAGTCAGAGCAATCTGGATATTCAACTGAAAAGTGAATTCAGAGCTTAAGTTCTTTAAAACACACAAGACTGATCAGGATTGGATTTACTAAAATTAGCCCCTTGCAAAAAACCTCATATGCAATTAATTTGAGGGTGGGGGGAAAAGAGCTAAATGAAAGTTTAACAGTTTTTACCTCTTGTGTTATTCAGAACAGAGAAACTGATTTTGGCACAGTAGCCAAAGCACTGTAAGCTTGACAGTGCTTCTCCAGTGTGCCTTCCAATTACTCCACTAAGTTGTAGGAAATAGAAACCCTCTTGAATGTTGAAAACCTGGGCAGCAGACCTCCAAATCAGAGTGTACATTAAGGGATGTAACAGGATGGGGAAATTCATCTCAAAGAGATTCTGGTTTTCAGCTTTTTCTTTGAATTTAGAATTTATGTCAAATTATAGTGGCAGAACTGTAGTCTTTCTTAAGATCTCCCTTTATAATCAATCCTTGGAAACAGATAAAGGAAGAACAGGACAGCCTAATGCAAGACTAATTTCTAGGAGACAGCTCTGTTTATCTTTGCACGCAGGTAGGGAAAAGACAGACATAGCCCAGTCTCTAGAAGATAAGCAGTCTCTATCACTGAAAGATCAGATATACTAATACTCCTAATGTAAGGAACACAGGACAGACCTGAAGGCAGATTATAAATTGCAGTTCAAGATTTGTTTGCTATCAAATACTACTAGAGATTTATTTCACAGCTCCGAGCATTGGTTCCAAAATAGTGAATCAGACTATGCAAAACAGACATTTTAAAGTCATGTTTTGTTGTGGGTTTTTTTTGAAGAGGAAATTGGAACACCATTGTTTTGCTTAGATTATTCTTGTGACCAATTCATTATCTTACAACATACAGACTTTTGACATAGCAAGTAAAGTCGGAAAGATACGCACCAAACTTATCTCAGGAAGACCTCTTGGCATTACATAGCAAATGTTTCCTTTTATATGGAGGTTTTCAAGCAGAGCTCAGCTGGATACTAGCTTCTACTGCACACAATATTGTTTTCAGAGACTAATAAAAACATGTTTCATGAAACAGCAGCAATAACTAGGAGTCATCAGTTCAGGAAACCATTTGCAATAACAACTTACCTCAGAATTCTGTACAGGTTCTTTCACTCTGGGAGACTGAAAAACAGAAAAAGCTGTCATTGCCTAGACAAAAGTGAAACATTGACTAGAAAGACTTGTCAAAACCAAAATGAACACATAAAATCTATGTAATTGCTTTCAAGTTACATATGTGTATCAAGATGCATAATAAAAGGGACACCACACAATTTGTTGGCAACCTAATCATATCATACCACCCAGAAACATACAGCCATGTTTCAGAATTTGCAGTTGATATTTACACAGTGGCATACAATAGCCTAAGCTGCTATCATTGTTAACTGTTAGCAAAAAAAAAAAAGTACTCCTGAAGATCACTCAGATTGGATCAAATCACTTGTGTACCAAGATGGCAAAATCCATTTTGAGCTACTCAAGTCTTGCAGAATAAGATAAGCCACACAACTCTGCCTTGCGGAATTCTGCTAGGAAACAAATCCCCTTTGTATACTTAGAATCATAGAACCATTTTGGTTGGAAAAGACCTTTAAAATCATCGAGTCCAACCGTTAACCCAGCACTGCCAAATCCATCACTAAACCATGTCCCTAAGCACCACATCTACACATATTTTAAATACCTCCAGGGATGGTGACTGCACCACTTCCCTGGGCAGCCTGTTCTAATGCTTGACAACCCTTTCGGTGAAGAATTTTTTCCCAATACCCAATCTAAACCTCCCCTGGTGCAAGTTGAGGCTGTTTCCCCTTATCCTATCACTTGTTACTTGGGAGAAGAGGGAACTTAGGGAACTAGTTTGCAAACCAACTTGCTTAAACCATACAAAAGCTTGGGGGGAAAAAAGGAAAATAAAAATCAGCCTTACATGTGCTGCTTTAGAGAGGTGAATCTCTCGCCTGCACTCCTTGCCCTTGGACTCTGCATTATGCTATGCTCTCCATGAAAAAGCAGAAAACTGACAGTTGTACACGAGTTCAGCAGTCTAGTTTGCCAACCAACTTGCTTAAACCATAAAAAAGCTTGGGGGAAAAAAGGAAAATAAAAATCAGCCTTACATGTGCTGCTTTAGAGAGGTGAATCTCTCGCCTGCACTCCTTGCCCTTGGACTCTGCATTATGCTATGCTCTCCACGAAAAAGCAGAAAACTGACAGTTGTACACGAGTTCAGCAGTAAAACAAAGAGATCAGTGGAATGGAGGGGAAAGTGCAATCAAAGCAATGCAACCAATCTTGGCTTATCAGTAAAACAAAGATAACGTGCATCAGCTATTTCACAGGAGCAGGAAGGAATTGCCAAGCACTCCTGGAAAACCCTGCAATTAAGACAGCCTGCAGGTTTGACTTCTAACAGGTCCAATTACCATGTGGAGATAGACAGGTGGGATGGCGTAGTCCATGCTCAGACTGATAAAGTAGATGTTCCTTCTCTACATAATTGTCTAAAAGATAGGTTGTGATTAGGACAGTACGAGTTTGACAGAAGAATGTAAGCCTCATCATGCCATATCTGGAGCCAGTTTATGCACTAACTTAACAAATGCAGGTCACAGTAATTTGTAACATATAACCCAGAGGCTTCTCATGAGACAAGGTTAAAAAGTCTTATTCTCAGACCAGCAAGTTGAAAAAAGCCCTCTGGACAGCAGAAGAAGGAACAGTTCCTTCACAATGACTATGTGCAGAGAGCATCAGGGAAAAAGTCATGCAGCTGGAAAGGTAAAGCCTGAAATCCATCTCAACATGCTGAGCCTTCATTTGACAGTTACCAGGCAAGATGAAAAACATGGCATTGTTCCCAGAGATAAACAGCCATGCTCCACATCTGCGGGCCACGGCTGCAGTGCTGTTCTTTCAGACACAAAGCTCATATCCAAAAGTAGCCGAATGCCTCAAGGAGTAACTCAAAAGGAGCTTGTCTGGAAGATCACAGTGTGCTAGACTCTGTACAGACAAGTATGGAAACACTCGCCCTGCCCCACAGCTAACAAAACCCAAATAAATGGCAAACAGAGGTAAACTAAGGAAAAAAACAGACAGAAAGGAAATAGGACAAACATTAGGAGATGTTTACCTAATTAAGACACAAATAGGATGACTTTGGGGATGTGCTGAAACGTATTAGTTCTAACTTACTTTTGCTTGTGTAACCAGAGATGATGCAAGTAACCAATAAAATGTGACCACGCGTGCCACTGCACAGATTTATGGAGTAACAGAAGGTGAATGATTTAAGAGCCTACACAACACAATTGCTCTAATTTGAATTCAAGGATTTAAATGCAGAGAGGAAAGAAGTTCAGTAAGTCTTACTATCCAAAAGGTAACATTGGGCCAGCAAATCAGCTTATTTAATGAATCGGGCAGATATTTCTGCTTGTTTGTAATAAATTTGTCTGCTTTCAGGTGTAGGCCTAGCAAGAGACTTGTAAAAATGTGTGTTTGTACATATTAAATTCACCCTATATTTTCTGTAAAGCGGAGATGAGCAAAAAATGCAAACACTTTACATTTATGTATTAGTTTTTATGCAGGATAATACTGAAATATTTTAGTAAATGGAGTCAATCTGCAAACCATTCTTTTACTTTAAGGCTGACAACAGTAAAATGCAGGTATAGCCAGAATCCCAGAATGGTTTGGGTTGGAAAGGACCCTTAAAGATCCATCTAATCCAACCCCACTGCCATGGGCAGGAATAAAAGGTGACACCTAGCTAATGTAAGTTATTCTATCTTACAACTTAGTTAAAATTGCAGAGGGATTACAAGCAGGTGAAATTTACAGCCTGTGTTTTGAAATATGGCCAAAACCCAGGATTAACGCTAGTCCTCAACAACACCGCTGTGTTCATGGCAATCACTGGCAGTTTAAATACAAGTCTCAAGGTTGCTTGAAAAGGGATCAAACGCAAGAGGTGCACAGGAATTCCTATCCTTTCATCTTTGGGCTTAAGAGAACAACTCAAAAGTGCAGAGAAGCCACCCAGGGCAGGAGTCAAGCACCTAAGCAGACTTGTAGGGAGTTCAAAGATGCCACAGTGCCCTTCCTGACTTCCAGAAAGGTACAGGTCTCCCCAAGTTCTGTGTTATATCTACAGAGGGTGCCTCCAAAATGGCAATATATATACACACACACACACACACACATTTAGGCAACTGAATTGACATCTACTGCTCCAACACCCATCCCAAAGGTTTCTTGAATGGGACACCTAGAAATAAAGGCCAAGCACAGCCCAAATTAGAGAGATGAGAACAGACAGCAGTATAAGGAAATACACCAAAGCTCCAAGAAAAAACAAACTGGCTTGAAAAGGAGCTTGTAAACCTGTGTGTCAATCTACTCTTTTCTGCATAAGAGTAATGAAACAAGTAAGTACTGTTCAAAACGCAATAAACAGTGCTAAGTCATAGTATCACGAGCTTAGAGACACAACAGAACAAGTTCTAAGTAATCTCTGAAATATAGTTAGGGTCTTCACCAATATTGCCTCCTAAAATTTGATTATATTTTAACCTAGAAAAGGAATTTAGAAGGTTTCAGCTTATGAAGAATCAAGAAGTTCAGTAGTATTCACCTTGTACCAAGAGATCCTCCTTGACCGTGTAATACGAAGCTAGATATAGTAAGCTCTTTAAAAAGACACAATAGTTGTTACCAATAAGTATGGAATTACTATATCACTAGCAGCCTTTAAAACCCCAAGCATTTCAAAGAATGCCAAAAGATGCAAAATTTTGCATTAAATATTTAAGTATCTATATGGCACACCACTAGAAGAAAAAGCAATGAAAGAGAAATAAGAGAAGTTAAAGTTGTAAAGGGATAAATGCTTCAAACCAATACTGCTTTTTTTTTTTTGCCTTTCATATTGAAAAGCTTCCTCTAAAAATCTTTCACTGTCTCACTAATTCAATTGCAGAATGATTAAACTGCATAGTCTACTTCAAGCTACCTGCTGTAGTGAAAAGGGAACCAACAAGCCATTACAGTTAAAACCCACATTGCTAACTACAGGGGGAATACAATGTGGAAATTTCCTGTAGTCTTTTAGTTGATCACTACACATTACTCTGTTTCTGGGGATTAGTCTGGGCTTGGGGTTTTTTGTGTATGTGTTGGGTGTGTATGTGCTTTTTTAAGGATTTTCAAGTGCTAGACCAATCACTCCTTGTGACTTTGGGGATGCCGTAACATTTTTCTACTGATTTCAGCGTAACTGAGGCGACGGAATCAGGCCCTGTGTGTTTCAGATACCAGCCGTAACCATGGATGGACCCTATTGATTTCAGTTCCATCCTGGAGAGGGCAGTAGGACAAAACCTCTCCTGACACTTCCAGAAGAAAGCATCTCAAACAGTCAGCACCCATAAAAACAAAGAGAATATCCTAACTCAAGTGAATTAGTATGCTGAGCTGGGAGCAGACCATCTGAATTCATGTTCCAAATTATGCTCAGCATCCCTCAATGAGACCAGCTGTGTCCCAGAATGATGACAGAAAAGAGATCAATACAATTTCTTCAGCCTTCAGTCTGCTTTCTCTGGTTCGGCTACAAACTCGAGGGGAAGTATTATGACTTACTGTGTATCATACTTGAAACAAGGCCACATGCTTCCCAGGGATATTTAGATCTATCACAGTTAGAAAACAAAACAGTAGAGCTATCAGAGTTTGAGGACTCACCCTGAGCTGTGAAATTGCTGCTCTGCCTTCCTCACTTTCTTCATCCAGTTCATCATCACTCCATTCCCAGCCACCATCTTCAGTCTTATGAAGACGTCCGCTGGAACCTGGGACTCTCCGGACCTACTCAGCACAAAGACAGAAAACTGGTATGTCAAGTAGACAGTTTCTGCAATTGATTTATTTATTTTTTTTTTTTTAGGAGAAATAGCACAAGAGCATCTTCAAGTTGCACCATCTGCCAGGGCACTTGAGCATTTTAATTGAAATATCTAGCTCTGTATCTAGAAGATGCTGTACTACAATAATTCTCATTAAAAATGTGAACACAAGCATAAAAAAAACCAGTATGACTGTAACAGCAAGAGCCCAGGTGGTTTTCAGTACCTTTTTGGATCTTTCAGTGATTGTTGGTGCTCTCTGCAACATCTTCTCTTGTAAAAATTCTTTATTCTGCAGAAGACAAAACACCAAACATTTGCATTGCTGAAAATGCCCTTTTATTCCTTCAGTGGCTCCAATAAACTGTTAAGCTATTTCTACCAGAAAGCATTTTACATGTTTCACCCCCATTCCCCTAAGAATATTAACCACTTTCTTCCTTTGGACTACAGCATATGACATTTCATCCTACATACCTTTTAAGCTAGCAGTGGCACTTTCCCTATGCAAAGTGATGGGGAATTAACAATCAAGAAGTTGTATACTATTCTGTCTGATTTACTGGGGAACATGCTTATACTTATTATATCCCAGCACCCTGCTGAGACATTTGGCATTCTTCCATTCACAGATACTACACCACCTGGATCCAGCCACTTTGCTTTATCTTGCTCCCAAATTTATGCCTGTCCAACTGTCAAAGGCAACCCTCAGATGTCAGGCAGGGCGGGATGCAGGAATCTCTATATGCTGGAGTAAGGAGACTCAGGAATTAGGAAAAAGGAGTTAAGAGTGGCTGAAAAAAACATACAGCATGTGACGTTTAGAGAGGAATGTGATTACAACAGACTAAAAATCGGAAAACTGCTGTGATGCTTTACTGTATTAAACTTCCTCTTCGGCAAGCTACTCCGGACTGGCTAACGTGGGCTCCTGAGCGTACGATTTTCCAACCGCTTGACTACAGAGCCAAACTACTGGCCACAGAGGAAGAAGGTAGGCAAGCGCCCTGGCAGTAGCACCAGGAGCTGGCTGGGTATTTCAAACCACACTAGTGAGGTTGGATAGCTCTGCTGTCTCTGCCCATGAAGAGCCATCACTCCCCCACGATGGTTTCTTGCACACAGGATGGAGAGTCTCAAGGCAGACGCCGTCGCTTCATGATAAGTGGCTCTCAGCATTATCACAACATACTTTTACGTAACATAGATTGTATTTAAATATATGGTTCAATATAGACATAGAGAAGTTGGACTCTTCTGTCCTCAAGTTACAGCTGTCAGTTTGGCAGTGGCTGATGTACGAAAGTAATTTAACACCGAATGTTAACTGGCACACATTCTCACTTTAGGTGCCGGTTGAAGTATTGCCTCATTTACAATAAAGTTAATTTTCTATCACCACATATGCTAATATGTTACTCTGCAGCAGCTTAATGAAAGCATGAAGGAGATTTTACACACAATGAAGTAAAACATGAACCAGAACTCCCGTAACCAAACGGAGAAAGGTCAGCAATGTGTAAACCATCTTGTCACTTTGGACACCAAGCGTGTATCCAGTGTACAGATGCAGATATTCAGTTGCCTAAAATCCTATTATGGACAATGAAAATCTAGTTAATACTGTCAAGAGCCCAGACATCAATTAAACTTGCCCTAAAGCAAACTCCTACATTTCATAAATTGGATCACACTCTAGACTTCCTTGGTTGCACTTGTTAGATTTCTGTCAACTTTAATAAGACACCCGGCTTCCTCTACAGATACTTAGATGTGGCCACTTCCATTTAAGCATCTTAATCTGGTAGGTGAAGATTACTTTGATTAATTAGTGATGCTGCTGTACTATCCCAAGTACCAGATATCTTTTTGACAGTTTAATCTGTGTTATGCTATAAAACCCATGTATTTTGATCACAAACATGCCACAGAAAAAATAAGCAAGCACAAAACATGTCCTCATTCCCATGGAAATATAAATTCTCCCCTGTATTATTTCCATCTGTCTCCCCCTACAAGATGTTGCACGCTGCATGTGCACTAAGCTCCAGGCAGTAATTACATAAATGCTCATCGGCAGTTCACTTCAAGGATAGAAATGGGAGTTTCCTACTATTCTATATCACAGGATCTTCGCTTTCCGTAAGGCAACAGAGGGTGAAATAATTTTAGGTAGCCCTCCACACAGTAGGCCTCATTCATTGCTTTGCATACAGACTGATTGTAGAGTTTACTTAAATATGTTACATTTACTGCCACAGAGACCTTTATGGTTGGACACGCAGCCAGAACGGCACCATTATGAGAGAAGAAAAAAACCTCCAAAGCCACTGAAAGACATTTAAATGCTCAAGAATTTCTAGATAATTTCTCTTAATAGCATCATACACAAGGAGGTACAGAGGAGGGGGTTCATTCTGGCCGTTCACAATGACCCATTCAACTCCCTCAGCTACGCTGGCCCTAAGTGAAACAGCCCACACTCACGCCAATAAAGCTGTCACCATACCTATCGTACTTCTGAAAAGTCCTCTCCACAGCCTCTGCACAGATCAGTTTAGGAAGGGTTTTCTTACCTTCGCTTTCGTGAAAAATTTGTGTCTTAAGAGTTCTGCTGCTGTCGGTCTGTCAATAAAAACAGATGTAGAAAAACCAATTATAAATGCTCCCTTTCAACACGACGGTCTTCCAGGTTGCTGCAGCCTGTTGTAACATGGCATGCCAGAACGGCATCGGTTTCTCCTGCACAATTTCCCTAGAAATCAGTCAATGCATTCCAAGTAATTTTTACACCATCAGTCTTTTAAACACTCAGTGTATTCTGATCAAAGCCTATTCTGTTCAAAAGCAATGAATAACTCAGAGGAGCGGGGCAGGGGGAAGTTGCTCACATTTTCATGCTGAACTCAAGTTTCTTAGAGCCAAGTTTGATAGGATCCCAAAAATAATTTGCTCAAAATTGAAATAAAGTATCATCACCTACAGCAGGAGTGCAGTATTTGCCATGTGCAAGTAACAGAGCTATTTCTGAGATACGTGATTATATATGTAATTAGCTCTATGAAACACAGGCAGGATGATCAACCTTTGTTTAGTAGAAAAGGAACAAGTACAAACTATTTTCTCCTTTAAGTTAGGCTTTAGGATAAATACTGGAAAGTAAAAGACATCCCTTGTTCAGTTTAGAAGGAGCTTTCTAACAAAAATCATACACCTTATAGCAAGGGAGCCCCAAAAATAATTCAAAAGCAATTGCACTAAATTCTCCTCTTTGAGGACCCACACAATATGCATAAGCATGTCTGATTCTGCAAGTTGCTCATTATGGGCTGGCCTCCTGCTCCCATAGTCAGGATGATGACAGTGGCTGTTAGTGGTGCTCAAGAAGAGAGAAGGGGCATGCCACGATTCAAAGTGATTATATTTAATTCTGATCAGCACACGTTCTAACCTGCAGGGATAGGATATGCTTTAGAAAGGAGAAAAAACATCATGCTGGGAAAAAACCCTGCTATCAGCATTTGTCAAGCACTTCACTGGATTCATTAAGCATTTCAAGTGTAAAGCTTGTTAGAAGAGAGAAATCCCATCTCATGATGCGTGAGAAGCCTTTGTTCCTGGTACAAGGGGGAACTGAAAAATGTCTTCATTATTATTATTTTATGAAGGGACTTCTTCCTTTCCAGAATCAGTTTGCTTACTGAGGAAAAAAGAAAAACTAAGAGGTATAAAAACTGATCTGTGGGAATGCTGTTTCTTTACCTTTGCATTTTAAGGAACACTTTTTAACGCAGGATGAATATCCCTTTCAACAGCTTCACTGAGACTGGCAAACACTATGACTGTTCTCTACAGAAACAAATCTGAGTTCTCCTATGTGACAGGCTGTGGGTTTTAAACAGCATCGTAGACAGCCAGACCCTCGCACAGCTTTGAACAATGCCCTAACATAACGACTAATGCTATCCCAAGAACCACAACACATGCACCACCCCCTCAGTACTATCTCTAACATCACTGATTAGTCAAGCTACTGTTACAAGGAGACTGAAAGTGCCATCAGGTCACTTAAGCAATCCGCATTGATGAAAATATGTTGGTAAAATTTGCCAGTATTTTTCCTAATTTTTCCCCCCCTCCCAAAGCAAATATTACTTATAATTAAACAAGTCAAAACTACACAGAAACCCTTCTTGGCACTGGCAAATTTTAAAAAGTTTATTTTTGAAGCTTCACAAGTAAACAGATATTGCCCAATATGTAATTTCTGATTTATAAACACAGAGAAGTTTTGACTGTGAACAAAACATGAACTGCAGTCACCTGCTGGAGGTGGCAAGGGGGAGAATGGCACTACACATGCAGTGGACTGGGATGCACTCTCATTAACCCAAATGGAAGGTGTGTGCCCTGGCCAGGCACAATGCCAGACATTTGTCCGTAAAAATAAGGACAGCCAAGAGAATTTGCTGCCACACAGCAAGATTGCTGTGTTCAGTGCGACTGAAAGGCTGGAGGGGCAGAGAGCTTTAAAAAACATGGAATACAATTAGTTTTGTGGGTTTGTTTTAGGGTTTTTTTAAGTTCATTCTGGTGTTACCTTTTTTCTGGGTCTTTTTGTAGGCATGATGAAATCATCTTCCTAAATGATTTCCCATACTTCTTCAGCATCTCCTTATCTTGCACACCAGTTTCCAAAGATGGAGGATCATTTTGTAGCGTCAGCATTAAAACCTGAAAGAATTATGTCTACTGACAATGACATTTTTCTTGGCCTTTGTTAGAGACAAATCTTGAGAACACTGTATTTTAGACAAGCATTTTCATCAAACATCTGAGTCAACAAGGACTGTTTCATTACAACGGCTCTCTGAGGGTAGCCTGAGCTCAAGACTGAAGTTTCTTACAATTTAGACTGTCTCCTCCCACTCACCAGACAGCAAAAACTCACCTACCTTTTCCTCAAGGCAATTGCAGGGTCATCACTCCTCTTCCCTCTGCTTCCCACAATCATTAACTTCGTAGAAAAAGTTTTTTTCAAAACCTTTATATCTCTGCCAATTCTGACTGTCAGCTGAGAGGTTCAAGACTCGTACAACAGGATCTAGAAAGGGTTACCTCCACCTCCTTTGCTTGGGAAGCCAGACTAATTTGTAGCCAACAGTTTATGCTACAGTTTTCCATCACATCTCCTGGCCCACATTGCAGTGTACGGGCCAAGCACAGGTCAGGATGTGCTTTCAGGCCCGTTTGGTGTGATTAAAGGTGTAAGCATAGCAGAACTTCTACCAGCCTTCCTTGTTTGAGATAAGCAGTTGTGCAAGGCATTTAATTTAAAGGCTCTGTTTAGATCTCCCTGAAGGCATTTCTTAGCTAGAAATTAATGTAAAAGCAGAAGGGAAACAAAAATATACAAGGGTTCACTTCCATGTACCAATGCGACAGCAGGTGAAGACATTTCTCACACAAGCAGCCATCAAGCTAAACTGATTATTTCTTTCACATCACTCAGATATTCTGAAGGAAAGGAAGCAAATTACTTATTTCCATTTTCACTTGTCACCTACATACAGATGAATATCTATTTTTAGAAAAGGAAGCAGCACACAGCACATTTAAATAGCTTTTAACAGCTATATTGCTTAGGGCAGCAAGAGCCCATCAATCTAGCTGAAATTGTACAGTCCGTGACAGAATTCCCTGCTTTTTCCCCCCATCTCCTTGGAGGATCACTTAATGCATGGGTCATTTTGCTGCATAACAAAATTAGTCTGCAGTGAAATACAATTGCATTCAATAAATAAAACACAGAAGTTCTCTTGCAAGCTGCACAACTGGAACCCATACCTAATAAAATCGGAGACTCACAATTCATAGAATCATAGAATCTTAAGGTTGGAAAAGACCTCTAAGATCATCAAGTCCAACCATCGACCCAACAATGTTGGCCTTATTCTATGTACTATATGACAACACACAAAACTAAATAGGCAATCTTCGTATTAAAAGCCATAACCCATGCATTCAAACCACAATAAGCAGAAGTACGGCTTGCAGAAGCTACTGCAAAATGCTACCAATGATCACAGCACAGAAGGAAATATCAATGAAAACAGCAACAGCTAAAACAGCAACATGTTTCCCTGAACTCACTGCTCTGCCACAATCACTGATATGGTACGAACTTTAATGGCATTTCTAAATTGCTCACCTACTCAACAGTCCCTGCACAGAAGTGACACAAATCTTTTAATTAATACTGTTCTATGAGAGTTAAATCAGTGCAAAGTCCTGGCATTTAAAGCGATACATAGATGTCCCTGTTCGAACAAGTTAGGAGCTACTGGATTCCCAAATGGTATTGTAATTGAGAGGTGGAGATGCACCCAGGTCCTGCAGAGGTGGCACCCACCTTGCATATTCAGCAGTTAAAAGACTCAGAAAAGGCAAGCTTGCTCCATGACATGCCTACAATTGAGGGACTTGGCACCCATAGGCATCATATCCCAGGTAAGAAGTCTAACCATAAAGGTTAGAAAGGGCTCTCCACCCCCTCCTGTTCGGTTCGAGGGAGTACACATGCCAGGAGGAGAAGAAAAAAGTGACCTTCAAGAGGGTGGGAAGTACAGAAGGGACTGAAAGTTTTGTGACTGAGACAGGGCCCCATCAGATCTCAACGGGGCCAAGGAAGATGGTATCAAAGCTCAGTAGGAGGACAGGATGCATCAGACCTCAACTGAACCTCTGTTAACATGTAGACTGCCTGAAAGAAAAGCATGTTGGAAGCAGCTCCTGGTTCCAGAGTCAGAAAACACGGAAAGTTAGCCGGACTACGTGACAATCCAAAGTAAAAATACTTTTTAAAAATTTTGAAAACTGTCAGTGTTTAAACAAGAACACTTCTTCCACCTCAACTTCAATACAATATTCATATTGCCAATACCATACTATTTCATACTGATGTGGTACTTTCCAGAAATGCCCTACCCTGGTTCAGTGATTGACAGGACTGTGTTGGCATGAAACAAAATAAGATGTTCTTTTGAATCACTGGTAACAAGATTTCTGAGAGGTATCGAGAAGGATTATCAGTGCAGGAGAAGGAACGGCTTGCCATCTCCATGTCACTGGATGTCAGATAATGTTTTCTGAATCATTATTTATATCCCTAAAAACATCTGCTGCCTTCAGAGGCTCCAGGACTGAAACACACAGCACCTCCCTCAAGATTGGTGACCCTGGCGAGACTCAGGATCTAAATAAGAACTGCACACTGTTTCAGACAATGCTGATGAAGTAGAATATTTTTAAAAGGTGACTTCAGATAAATCCAAGAACATTGTGATCCACAAGTGCAAGTTGAAAGGACAAACTCTTCAACAAAGCCTGCTGGCCAAATTCTTGGAAACACCCACAAGAACACACTGATCCTTTATCTTGTACAAGTATCTGGAGACCTGCTCACCTTCATCGGAGGGTATTTATGGTAAGGAGCTGCCCCTGTAGCCAGTTCGATAGCGGTGATCCCAAAGCTCCAGATGTCTGCCTTGAAATCGTATCCTCTGACCTGAAAAATATTAGAGTATATTAGCACATGCCTCTTGCTATCCAACACAACAATTCCTTTCTTTAGCCTATTACATACAGATCCTTTTGGCCTTTCCTTCCATTCCCCTTGAATTTGGAAAAACCAGTACTACAGTGTTAAAAAGACGGCAAGAACACTTTCTCCCTCCTCTCCCCCTGGCTCCTTATACCTTCGAGGAGGTGTTTTAGAAGGCACAGTCTGATGAAAATCATGATTGTGGACTGTGCAACTAGGACTGCTTCGTCATAAACCTCGCCATATGTAGAACATAAAGGGGCACTGGGTTAACCCAGTCTCCAACTTCTACACAAAAACACAGAAAGTCATTAAACAGCATAATGAAACTCTCACAGTTAATAGATGGACTGTTATCCCCTTGGGACATATGCCTCACGACACTTTTAGTCAATCGCTTAACCAATCTGACTGCAAACATGCTCAATCCTAAAACTTCAGTACAGCCCAGTTCAGTAAGAAGCCCCTCATGCCTGTCTGCACACTAGTATTTCCCTCCACTAATTAACAGTAGCTTCTGCACTTGACATTAAACACAGACTTGTACAGGAAAATTTATAGCATTTACTTCCCCTCATGCACAGGAAAAAATATTTCATATGCCAAAGCGGTTACTTCCTCATTATCGTTAGGTAATATTTTGGCACTTGCTTTCTCCGCTGCAGGGGAGAGACATTATGTACTAACTTCAAAAGCAGCTACAAAAAAATCAAAGCGTTTTGGCTGCTTAGTACGGTTCTTCTCGCTAGACTATGGAAAAATGAATATTGAATGAAAGCTAATAGGGATATTGTGTTCAGCTAACCTAACAAGCTTTAGAAAGACACTCATTGTGATGAAGCCAAAAACATTCCCCAAACTACCTTTAAGATGATCTTGAATTTTGGCAAACAAACAAGAAATACTCTTGCACTATTTTTCATGTAATACTCTAGCTGAACTGAAATTTATTACAGCAACAGGAGTTTATGTCTTGCACTAATTCCATCAACACTGTAGGCATCATTTTCATGAGCCTTAAAGGTCTGAAAGGCCTCTTGAAGTGCCGCAGTTTATGGGTGCCATGACTATGCACAGATTTTAAGTCATTTAACTAAACAAGCACAGATATCTAGTATAATTGAAAAGAATAGAGTGCAGGAAGAAATACGCTGCAAGGGTTTGGGGTTTTTTTTCCCCTATCACACTGTTTTTAGGTTTTGAGAATAACTTTGGGATATTTTTTAGCTTTAACTTTCAGTTAGTGTTGTAGTACATCCGTACAACGTACAGCTTCCCATTCCCCGCTGGGGTTTTAACTTTTTAGCAAAGTATTTTCTAATTATATCATATAATCCTGTTTGCAAATAAAAGCTACAAAGTTTAAAACTGTCTAAAGCAGTTCATCTTGACACCCATCCAATACATATTAGTTATCTCCTTGCAGTTAGTTTACATCAACAACATTTATTTTTCTCATCGACATTTTTTTTTTGCCATAAATCTGTCAAGTGAATATACATTAAAGGACAATGCCATGCTATCATGTATTAACATGCTAAAGGAACTTAATGATGCTGAAGTAAACCAGATGGAATTGGGTCGATAATATCTACATACGGAAGGCTAACCTACAGCAACCCCTTTTTCCTTTTTCCCCAGTTGGATATAGCAGCTCAGAGTGACACCTGCTGGAAGACAGCAAGATGGTATCAATGGACATAGAAAGATTTCACGTCAGCATCCAAAATACCTCCTTTACTATCTCATACTTGCAATGAGTTAGGTGTGGACTGCCTTCATGGAAGCGTTGGGACTCCCTAGAAAATCTGCCTCCTTCAGAAACATGTCCATTACATCAAGAGCTCCCCGCCTTTGTCACTAAAACCTTAATTTCCCCTTTTTAGCATCCTCCTCAAGATCTCTTTTTCCCTTTGTTGTCCTGTGGATTGCAGCCACTCTAACTACAATGAGCACGAAGCAGCACTGTTAGATCCTGGCCAGCCTGCTGCACCCTGTGCACCAGGACAGGTCACAAAGGACAGAAAAGCAAGGGATAACTCTGATCTGGTTTTGGAAACACCGAATATTCCATTTTTATTTCTTTTTAAATCAGCGTAACAAAAAAAAATAATCCAGGAGTACATGACAGTTCAGAAGCAAGTTTGCAAAGACCGCTCCTGACTTGGGGAGTGTGCCTCCTACTCTAGGGTGTTAGACTTGTTCTCAGGGATGTTGCAGGAGCGCTGTAACGCACCAGCGCCTCAATGCCACCATGGGGAGCCACTAAAAAGGCCAAACACTGAAAAACCCTTTTGTCAATAGTGTATTTAAGCTATTCCAAAAGTGTCTCAATTCCTCAAGTTTTAGATATAAGAAAACATGCATTAAAGTTCTACCACTGTTTTAGCTGCATTTCATGTTAGATATTTATACATGGGAGTCTTATTCAAGTTCCTCCTAAACATCAAAATACTTCATTGTGAACAGCAAGAAAAAAAGTAAGGAAGTGAGATTACTTTAATAAAGCAATGTTTTCCCAAAATATTTTTGTTTCAAAGATTTTTGGAAGGAAAAAAGAAAAACATTTAGATAGTCAGTTGTATTTCTGCTTGGTACACCTGTCACAAATCAAACCCTGAGTCCAGCCCTCTGTGAAACTGTTTTTAAAGGGATGAGGGATAATATTCAGAATGCTTATGGCACTGAACATCAATGCAATAGACAGCTACTGCAAATGCCCTGTCAGGACTGTGGCATAATTTTGTTTGTGGATCTTGCTCCGAAATGGGCAACAGTATTCTATACTAAAGTTTCCAGGTGGCCTTCATAAGAAGTCATGCAGACAAAGCTTCTACAGTTTAGTCTAGAAGTAGCGGACAAAAAGTGACCTATCTCCACCCAACGGGAAGAAGTATGACATCTTTCAGCTAGCCAAAAGAGCAGAAGAGGAAGGGGGAGAGGCAAGCATTCCTCAGCATTTACAGTCTGGATACTCAAAAGCCAAGAGAAACTAAAAAGCTGAATAAAGTCACCTGCATGTTATTTTCCCCTAATAACTCCCCACTCTGACATGCTGCAATTAGCTACCCAAAACTCTCGTATTGGCAAATGCGGAAGAGTATGTTACCAAGCTGTATATGTGCATATTTATCACGTGTGAAACTATTTATATTCTACCTCACATTTATGCAAGAGGGAGGGGCAGGTTAATCTTCTTTATACAACAGCTGAGCTGTCTCATCCTCACCTGAGGTAGGAGCCTGAAGAGAAGCAACAGGGCAAAAACCTTCTGAACACTTAATATTCCCCAGTACAAGCCTGGCTGCAATAGGCAAATCAAAGACAATCTTGTGGTTTTAAGAAAGCTTTACAGGATGCCAAATTATCATCTTAGTTTGAAGTAAATACAGCCATTGATGACCACAGGGAATTCTAGGTGCAAATCAGCTAAGAGGACACTAGGAAAAACAATTCACCTGTTCCATAACCTCTGGTGCCATCCAGCAAGGTGTGCCCACAAAAGTTTTCCTGACTTTATTTCTGGTAATGTCACCACCCGTGGCCAGAAACGCACTAACACCAAAGTCTGAAAAGAAAAGAGAAACAACAGATTTTATTAATAACACATCCTGAGCAAACTGAAGGGTTGTCCCCTCTTTCCCCTCATATTCCCAGCCATCTATTAAGTACTGGACCATACAGTCACGCATGAGGAGATTCCTAATAAATGAAGAACGAGCAACAGTTAGCTAAGAGTGCTGGTACAGGAACGGTCTGCAGTCCACCATTCAATTACTGGGGACAGCAGAGCTTTCAGCGCTGGCTGGCAGAGAGGAAAATTCCGCTTTCCATTACAGCCCACTGGTCACATTACAGCACGCCTGCGCTCCCCTGCTACTGTGCAAACCTCTGACAGCCAGTGCTTTATTTACATTTGTATATCTACGTAACAAGTAATAACTGAACTTCAATTCGCATCCTGTGAATAGTTGCGGCAATGAAGTCAGGTACATAAAAAGTTAGTAGACTTTATAATATTTAACTGTCCTACACTGCAGACTGGAGGTATCAGCCTCTTACTCTGGATATTTTATTACCAGAATATGCTTTGCTTGGTAATCTTCCACGGCCGAGATGCTCAGCGCTTTGGCAGGAACTTGGACCGGTTCCAAATGATACAGCATCGTTGCTGAATCAAGCAGCACGTGCTGCTAACCAGCCCAACCATCCCAGAGGCAGCCTTACAGACAGGTATTCACACCCTGCGCAGCCTTACCCCTACTCAAAACATCTTTCACAAGCTGAAGGATGCTCAGGGATGCCCCATGCACTCACTGGTCATAGTATTACTGAAAGTAAATCATTCTTTTACATGAAAACTAAACTTTCAAAGACAACGCTGATGTTTTGTGCAATTAAGAATGACATGGAAAACAGGACCTGTGAACAGCAGCAGTAGTGTGTGGGGATAGCAATAGGATACAGCATGTTTGTTCAGAGAAGACCATTACAAAATATGACAACCAAGTCATTCAAGAGAGGATGGCAGACTTTCTTTGGAGAAAAAAAATAAAATAAATCAGGTAACAGGGAAACTGTAAACACAAGACTGTATAAATATTTCTTCTCAATTTGCTCCAAACTACACTGCTTATGCATTGCAGAATTGTAGACCTGTAATGGGTCATTCTCCATAACTCAATCTTATCCACACACCCCTCACTTTTGTTAAACGCAGTACAAGCAATCAAAACCTTGAATGCCATTTTTGAGATTGATGGCAGGCTTGGAGTCTCTATTTCACATAAAAAACCAGGAACTTACTGACCACAACTGGTTTGAAAATTCTTGAAACTCAGCTGACATAGTGAACTGTAAACGCAAAAGTCTTACTCAGAGGAGCCACGGAGTTACTCCATGGCGTAAAGATGTTATCCTAACTGAGGAATCAACTGCAACAAACAATCCCTCTCTACAATTTGCAAGCAATAGCATCCACGTGAGGACAGTCCCAAGCTTCCCTCGGCATCACGCCAGCAGTGCAGCAAGCCCCTTCTTACCAGTCTTTCAATATTTGAGAAACACCACTGAAATTCTCGCTCAGAAGAATAAGATGCTGAAAGCTTCCAGCTCACTTAGGTTAGAGGCTTCCAAGGACAGGAACTTAGCGCTCACTAAAATACTAGATGTGGATAACTGAAAGCTTACATTAAAGAAAGTTGGTTTAGCCCTGTGATTCCTACGCAAGCACCAGCAAATGCCCATCATTAGGGTTCAGCTTCTTCCAGACGTGCTGTCCTGTTCTCTTCCCTGTTCCTGGAAGCATCTTGTCTTCCTGTTAACCTTGAAGTTTTAGCATGTCTAGCTGGATCACTATCCCCGTCAGCACTGCAATCTGAATTTTTTCTGGAAACCCACTTTTTGCCACAGGGATTTTGCTTTGAGATCTTCCACATGTGTATCCACCATTCTTGCTTTTCTCGGAAAACTGAAGGAGAGCTTCCTAAAAGGTTCAGAGTAAATTACTTGCACTTTACCGCTCATTACGGGAAGTCTCGCAAGATCTATTGTTCTAAACACAAGAGCAATTAGAAGTTCTTTTAAATAAGATAATACTAATAGAAGCTTGTCCAAGTGCCATCAGCATATTATTGTGATGTGCTGTATTTGAACTTGTGTATATTATCTTACCTCAAGTTTCCATGCAGTCATTTTGAGGGTAAAGGAAATGCCATTCAAAGCAAAAGCATTCCAGCAGTAAAAACACAAGCCCTTTACAAAGCACAAGCAGCATTTACCACATTTCACATCAAACATGGTTTACAAATTCCAGTTGGAAATCGTGCCCCTACATCTGCCATCTGAGGTCAGCAGAAAGCTTAAACGGAATTAAATTGTATTCCGTTACATGGTTGAATTATTCAATGTTTTCCCAATCAATTTCCCTCATTTCCAGTGGGCTAAAAGAGGCACAACCAGCCTGTGCTACTCTGCTGTACGGAATGACTTTGAAACAGTTTTCTCAAATGTCATCTTACTAACTTTATCCAAGTCCCAGCTATTAAGATAAGAATGTGCCTGCTCTCAGGAAATATCTGCAAAGCAATAAAATAAGATCCTAACTACAAGTTAGGGTTCAATTCTTACTTCTGAGCAGCTGGTAAGATCTGAGTCTTATTATCTCTGCCACTGTTACCTTACCCTCGGAAAGGCTAAAACAGAATTAGGTCATTGCAAATGAATTTAACTCTAGAAAACGGGAAAAGTCATGAAATTCAAGAGGTACAATAGTGCAGAAGTGTTTACATTTGTACTCTTCTTTGGCAGTTTGCACTTTATATTGGCTCACTACAGCGATGACAGGAAAGGACTGCATCACCAGAAACAGGGAGGAATTGGAAGTGTTTGGACCTGGCTTGCAATATCAGTAACCACCACTGCTGGGAATCCAACTGCTGTCAGATATTCTAAAGGAGCCCAAAAATTGCAGACTTCCAGCAGTCTGCTAGCAAATAATAGTCTCCAGGATGTCTGGATGCAAGTTGTGCATTTTTTTAATCATTTTTCTGAAGCCACATAGAAAAGATTCATCCTGGACCTGTTTCAGTGATATAAACCAAAGACTTCTTAAAAAAAAAAAAATCTCAAGACTCTCATATCACAGCAAAACCAATCCAGAATGGAAATGACAATTCTGATGATACAGGCTCTGCAGAAAATGTGGCCAATTTTGTCTTTTTCAGTTGAAACATCACGTGTTGCAAACCACATACTCTACCAAACACTCTGCAGTGGCAATGAAGTTGCAGACTAGTGCTTGAAAAACCATGGTATTAGGCAACAATTCCTGCTATTAAGGTATCCAAGTTCTCAAACTTGAAAACTATTCTGTCCACTCAGGAAATGCAAAAGCTGAAAGGATAATCTCTTACTATTCTGCGTTGCAGAAACGAAGACCCAGCCTAAACAACTCACTAACTCAAGAATGCTGTGGCAGGACCACATCACAACAGGTACCACCACTGCTCTGTACGTCAGGAAGAGATTTCCAACAGTATATATCTTAGATTGTTTCATCCAATACTAGAGGTCACACATTACAAATCATCTGTCCTTGGCCATCTCATATTGTAGCATTACCTTAATCCCAAAAAGCCTAAGTACCTGCTACTGGAGGTAGCTACCACAAGGGAAAGAAGATTGTGCACTGATGAGGAGCCAGGACCAAAGCCTACTGAAATCAGAACAGCTCCCACAAAGTTTGGTGGGTTTGGATCAGGCCCTAAAGCAGCAGTTCCCAATTCCAATGGGGGCAGAACAACTGAATAAACCAATCTTGACTTCAAACCACTCAGGTTTCTTTAAACTTCTGTAGCTGAGATATTATCCCTCCTCAAATAAAAATAGAAGCATTTCAGAAGACAGCACTAAGTGGTTTTTTCACTAGTCACCTTCCTTCTTGTTCAGTTACTCAGCATCAGAAAATATCTGCAGTTGTACTTAGTGTTTTTCTGCAAACCTCACAGCTTTTAGAGCACTGAGGATGAAATAAAGCCTGGCAAGAAAAAGAGGAAGGCAGTGGTAAATAGCAGTTTTGTGCTGAGAACGCAGCGGGGTGGTAGGATACCAGAGAAAAGGAAGATTAGAGAAGAACAAGAATCAAAAGCTTCTTTCCTTTAAAGGCTATATGGTTATACAGTGGTATTGGATCTATAAATACACACTTGCTCTCCCAATTTCTCATTTGTGAAGGTAAACCTCTAGAGTCACATCTATTTCTAATCAATTCACACACAGAACAGCAGCTTTATTTTTATATGCATCACAAGCTTAGCCTTTTTGCAGTAGTATGAAGGAACATAAAAGATGTACGAAATCTTTTGTGAAGTAAACGTAAAGATCACATCTGAAACAAAGCCCCAGCAGCACGTTAATAAAGATATGCTAATACGGCACAAAGTAAATTAAGGATGACAGGGCCCAGGCTGGGTGAAGCCACCGCCCTCGGAGAAGTTCACAAGTGTTTCAACAACCAAATAGTGCAACATCTCTTCAGGAAACACAGATATTGCAAGCAACACAAAGGATAAGTTACTTCACACCATGCTGCTGCAGGGGAGGCACCAAAACTCTCCACCAACCACAGAAAAATACTTTTCCCCCTTTTTCAAAAGAGAGAAGATGCTCAGGGGTGTCCATGATACACCACCAGCTGCTCGAGGCAGCCCTGCAACCAGCACCCCTCTCCCCAAGTTAGATTCTTGCCTTGCCCCTTGTTAAAGCAATTTAATCTCCCAAAGTTAGAGTTTCCTAAGGGAAAGTGGGGGAATGACATTGCCTGCATCATAACTCTATGTTTATGTAGAGCGCTATTTTAGTACAATGAATTAAGAGCAGTCAGGAACACAGCGAACCGGTGACAAGCTGGCATGGATTTGTGGAAAGTTACACAAATTCAGTTACACAAGTTTTGCCTGGCCTTAACTATCCCCATTTTATAAATAGATAAAGCGAGAGGGGTTAGGCAATTCGCCCAGTATCAATTAGCAAGTCCTGAACGACTTCGTGAAATCTCAATCTACTTCAACCGCTTGGTGACACGGCCTGCCCGGACACGGCAGGCGCACTGCGCGCCTCTTGGAGTACGCGTTAATAATCCTGACTGGTTTTAAAACCCGAAGATATTGTGTTACTGTCCCTGCAACAGAGAAATCCCACACGTGGAGGGACGGGCACCTTTCAGCCTTCAGCAGACCCTTGCTTCTTCACATTCAATCATGGAAGGGTGGGTGACAGCATTATTTAATACCCCAGAGGATAAAAATCAGGGGAGGAAAAATAAAAAAAAAAAATTTACCCTGCACCCAGTCTTGGTAGGACACTACTATCGTGCCGTGGTTGGAGCATGGTTTGTACCGAGCAAGTCTCGTCCACCCTGGGAGAGTTTCCCTCAACAGCTCCTCAGCCTTTCCCATCCCTTCCCAGTCTATCAAGACTCTCACTTCATTTCACAATAACAGTTAAATAAACTGAAGAATATTCAGCCTTGCTTACTGTGAGAAGTCATCTTCTGGTTTATGCAGTAATATTAGTACCGACGCAGTTTATGTTGACAAAATGTGTTTTAGACTGCATGCAGCTTTTAGACTCCAGGGAGCTAATAAATGCCAGGGCAAAGAGGTTTTATGCTCTGATTAAAAAAAGAAAATACAATAATTGCCATGGAGAGGCTGGAACACAAAAGAACACTGCTATCTCAATTTCCATTGCAACCACCGTCAGCATAGCCCAGAACAATGCTATCTGGGAGACAGTCCTGCTCTCTCCAGAAGACAGATTAATTCAATGCGCAGGAAAACACTTCAAACTGAGAAAATGATACCCTCTGAACTGTAACAGGCTCCAAAAACTTGGTACCAAGCCACAAGCCCAAGCCAGTGCCATTGGGGATTTAAAAAAAAAAAAAAAATGTTAAGATTGATGCAAACAGCATCAGTTTAGGTCTTACTGGTCAGCCAGATCTGTTAAAGGCGATTTTATATGCCTTGGTTCAGCGGATGCACATTTTGAAAGCAAAAGGAGCTACATAGTTAAAAATAAGACAGAGCCATAAGTAAAAATACCACGATTTTATGCCTTGGTTCAGTGGATGCACATTTTGAAAGCAAAAGGAGCTACATAGTTAAAAATAGACAGAGCCATAAGTAAAAATACCAAGTTCTAGGTCTTGGGGAAGAGTTTGAAGCTGGGAGTTTGGGCAGGCCATTAGAGGAATTTTTAGAATTCCTACTTGGAGCAAATGCCCCTGAGCTCACAGATTTCTCCTGTGTCGCGTTACCTGCGCCCACCTCAGCTCACGGTGCTCTACCAGCAGCCTTCACGTCCGACACACAGCCACCAATTCCGAGTTACAAACAGAACCTGAGAAATGTCGGACACACCTCCCTCAAGTTGCATTTTCCGTTCAGCCTTAACAGAACTGCACAGCCCAGATTAACAAAAGTCTTTTAGTTTTCACTGGTTATAACAGTATAAACCTGCAGCAGAATTTTGGAATTCTGTAACAGTGAAAGTTTCCCAAGTGATTAAATTCACTGACATGTTGTGAAGGTACAGCCCAGCACTGGGGTTTCCTCCACCACAGTGTCAAGTATTTTTTTTTTAATAAACTTGAAAGAAACTTTGTTTTTCTCCCCAAAGGATTTCCAGTTTGAGATTTGCATTCCTTACATTTATACTTAGGATTTACATTTCTCCTAAGAAAAGAAACACACATTGTGTCAAGCAGTAGGAAACACAGAGGAACATGAGTTTGTGACGGCCAAATACTGAAAAAGACCTTCTTAACTGTTTACCAGCAGTTTTGCCAGAGGGATGGCAAAAGGGAAAGGAGTTATTATAAAAGAATAGAAGTCATTCTTTCCTGCTATGCCATTTGCATTTTTTATGCACACCAAACCAGCTCCTTCAAGGGAGGTGCCCCATTCATTCTAACCCTCAGGCTTCATTCCATTCATCCCCCCCCCCCACCCCAGCCCGTCGTGGTTAACTTTCCAGCGAAACTTAAACACACTTGTTTCATGGGAACGCAGTGATGTCATCCAGCTGATAACTGAGGCACTCAACGATCAACAGAATTATTCATAATATGCATTAATATTATTGTCAAAGGCAAGTGCTTTGATCTTGCTGAAACAAAACTCACTAGATTGGGATTAGTTTGCTTCCAGCATTTTTCCTCCTCAAAAAATTCAAGAGGAATTTTGCTATTTCATCCTGGGTCAGGAGGAAAGGAAGCTTAAGTGTCAGACATTCTCACAGAAACAAAATCTCACATTATGACCAGGTCAGGCTCTTCTCTAGTATTCAGTCATTCATTTATTTTTGTTTCTTTCAAGTCACCAGCTGCCTTTGCAGAAAGGAAAGTGCTTCCTGCCACTGCGGTGAACTAGCTGACCTTGGTTGAGTTTAGTCGCTCTGCTGTGGCTCATGAAAGGCTGCAGCGTTTGTGAAGAGGGAACTTTGCACATCTCGCAATGCTGCTTTCGCAGGATATGCAGAGAGATGGATTTCATCATTTTACATTGCACATATAAGCCGCTACTAGACAGCTCAGGCCAGGGAAACATCTACAAGTCACAGACAAAATAAACCCTCTGAAATTCATAGAATCATAGAATGGTTTGGGTTGGAAGGGACCTCAAAGATCATCTAGTTCCAACCCCCCTGCTGCGGGCAGGGACACCCTCCACTAGACCAGGTTGCCCAAAGCCCCATCCAACCTGGCCTTGAACACTTCCAGGGATGGGGCATCCACAACCTCTCTGGGCAACATACAAGCTAAGCAAAGGATTTTCATGAAATTATTTAGTCAACCTTAGAAATATTTGTGAACTAAAAATTATTCAGCAGACAAAAATACATGAACAGGTACCTATTACCAGTGAGCCTTAAAAAAAAAAAAACCAACCAAAAAGCCAAGCCTTGGCACCCTTGTGGGAGAGAAACACAAGCAGCTTTTTGCTAGGCTGGCAGAGACCCATGGAATAACAGTGCATTGCTCTAATGCAATAGCTATTTGCTGCCTCTCCCAGAACATAATCTAAAGCTCCGTACAATTACAAATCCAAAATGTTACATCTTGGCTCCATTACGGAGAAAATAATGTAGAATTTCACCGTATAAAGTTTGCTCCTTTGAGCATTTTAGAAGCCACACCCTACCTTCCATCAGCTGCCACATGGGATGAATTATTTACACCTCATTAGAAATATAACAGCAGGCATTAAAAGCACTGGGACACTTAAAAGGGAAAACAAAGCAACTTCAGGTTTTAAACACAAGTCCTGTATTTTAGCTGTAAAAGGCCTTATTGCCTTCTGCAGAGGGAGAACCACCTATTAAAAACCGTGCATTGCAATGTGTTCTGCCTCCTGGTGGAAAATCTACTGCTTTCATCCCAAGATGCAAATTCAGGCATAAATATACTAGAGGAGCCTGGATCTCTCAGCACTACACAATCCAACACTCACTTCTGCCTGACACGAGTGTCATTGCATCACAGCGGCACAGCCCTGTCCTTAACCCCCCCAGCACACTGGCTTGACCCACTGCTGTGCCTCCACCAGCAGCACAGTGCACTAAAAAAAAAGAGACCTTATCATAAACAGATACGGCTCTTTCCAATTAAATATGAACTGAAAAAGTTAAAACATGTACAACAATGCTTGCTAAAATGCCAGGACCTGATGCGAGCTCTGCCCTCCAGCTAGAGGTAGGCAAGGACTGGAAAGGCACCACAAGACTCACGGGAGAGCAGAGTCCTGGGGGACAGGACAGTGGAGAGGAATCTGCATGTTGATTACAGAATCTTCTGTACTCGGGGTAGGTAAACAGCACACTGGGAAGGAGTAGAAAAACAAGTCTCACAGGTTCTAAATGTCCTATCCAAAAATCTTGTCTTACTTAATACTACTACTACTACTAACAATTCTTGATTTCTGGAAGAAGAGCTCCTACAGACTTCATATATATGAAATATGAGACCAGAACAGTCCTACTGGCAAAAAAAAACCACACCAAAAAACCACCCAAAAAACCCCAGACCACCCATTTCTACAAACACACGATTGATCTACACCAAAGACTTTTTCCAACATACCTGCATTGATGCAGCTCGTGACAGCAGTGACTACAACAAACATTTCCTCCAAGCACATCTGTATTAGCTAAAGTAACTGTCTTAACAGTCTTCCCCACCCTGTCCCTCAGCTTGCACAACTGCTTCCAAGACTTTTAGTTCACCCCAGTTTGGGGTGGGTTAGGGGAGCCAGTCAGACCCTCTGCTATTTGGTTCCACCGAAGCGGACTAGGGAGCATCCACATGAGCAGTTTGACTGGCAGATCTTTGGGTAAGACAAAGTTGCAAGTGACTTTTGCCATCAGACATACCAATTTCCTTCTGATTAATCTATCCACTGTTCACCACAGTCCTTTTGAAAATCACCTTACACATCGATGAATCAGTGAGGTCTGTGCAGTCCACTTCCACGTCTATGAACATGCTGTTTTAAAAATCCAACCAGTTTATGCCAAGAATTTTATCTGTTGATTCTGAGGACTTAGAGTCAAAGGATTTATTCAAGCTGATTGCCATTATTCCGAAGAATGGTATTTTAAGATAAGAAGATGTAACAAACTCTAGGTTGTTTTGGTTTGTTTTGGGGTTTTTTTGGTTGGTTTGTGGTTTGATTATCACTGGGTTTTTTGGTGTGTTGTCTTTGTTTTGTTTAAGAACTGTGGGGCTTCTTGAAGCTAACAGTTTTATACAGGTTTCTTGACCATCATTAAACCATCTCTTTGGATACACAGTTACACCTAAAGTTTATTGAAAGCTACCAGGGCAGTTACCTGCAATTTGCACTGAGCCATCTTCTCCAAGAAGAATATTTCCTGCTTTCACATCCCTGCAGAAAGATAAAGCAACAATAAGTAGAAGTCATTAAATCTTTCCTTCAACCAACAAAAATACATGAAAAAGGTTATTATTACTTATACTTTGTTTCTTACATTAGCACCTCCTGCTTCCAATCACGCAGAAACAGTAGAGACTTAACACCAATTGACAGGACAAGGGGGAATGGGTTTAAGCTGAAGGAGGGTCGATTTAGATTAGATGTTAGAAAGAAATTCTTCCCTGTGAGGGTGGTGAGGCACTGGAAGAGGTTGCCCAGAGAAGCCCCAGCCCTGGAAGTGTTCAAGGCCAGGTTGGATGGGGCTTTGGGCAACCTGGGCTAGTGGAGGGTGTCCCTGCCCGTGGCAGGGGGGGTGGGACTAGATGGGCTTTGAGGTCCCTTCCGACCCAAACCGTTCTGTGATTCTATGAACTGTAACTTTGGTAGACAGACACTAAGTGGTATTTGTATGATTTATAGCTAGTAGCTTTTTAAGCACTATGCACAGGAAAAAAAAAATTGAAAAACTTTATCAGAAGGAACCCTCAAAAATACAAGGAAAGCTGTTTGTCCCAGGTTCTTAAGTTAGCTAAAAATGTGAAAACGAAACCTAGCACTGGTCTGATGCTCATGTACCCTTTAAGCGGGAGAAGTTTTCAAGAAACAGTGAGTTGATCCAGTCTCACTACCGCCAAATGCATCCTACTCTTCCCCAGCCCCAAGTCTCGTTGCTCTCCAGCCCTGGAGAAGTTCACACACTTCCTCAGGAAGTCAGTTCAGCCCCATATGCTGCTGAAAATCCAGACAGAAGAAAAGAGTCGTTTGCTCGTGACTTAATGAATTGAACCACGTTACCAAGGATCAGGCGAGCAGAGCTGGTACCACAGAGGCAGTGAGAATGTGAAAGTGGGGCCACACAACTGTCCTGGGAAGTCTCAATGTTAGTGAAAAAGTCTGCCTTTTTTTTTTTTTGCTCTGACCAAAGTCAACAAACACACAAGAACATCCAGTACGTGTTATGAAAGTTACTGCATTATCTCCTTTCTACCCCCAAAAAAGCTCTGGTGTGTTACGTTAACAGCAGCATTTCTCCATCCTCAAGGGGAATGCTACTTTCACTCCAAATATGCTTTGAAGTTTTACAACTTCTTTTCCAACCTGCTGCTCCCCACGCAAAGCCAAGAGAAGCACCTTTATAGTTGACATCTGTGTTCATCAGCATGGCTGATAAACTTGCACTGGCTAGGAAACCATGCAGACCCTGAGCACAGGCAGGTGCTGTCTCAGGAAAGGCTTCAAGCAAAGCAACTGCCTGGGGAATGGATGGCAGCGAATAGATAGCAATTCACAACACACCTCACCTTAATGGCAACCACCTGCATGAAAGAGAAAAGAAAAAAAAGAGGGGGGGGAACCAAAAAACACCAGAACAAGCAGATTCTCCCTCTACTGCCTTCTGCGAATATTCCAAATCCTTTCACACACACACAAAAAAAGCCAAAAGCTATTTTTTTCTGTCCTCCCTTGTGCATCATGAGAACAGAACTGGCATGATGGCCTGGCCAAAGAGCCCTGGTCGGGCCCTGGAAATCTCCTCCTTCCTGGCTTAGCTCTTCTGAAGAAGAGCCTGGGCTGCTGCCAGTTCCAGGCCAGGATAATTTTAAACACATCCTCTCCAGCATTAGCATTTGTTAGATTCTTCCCAATACCCAGTCTAGGCCATTGGCATGGCAAGGCTTTCCCCCAGCATACAGCCGAACAAAAGTGAACACAGACTGTCCATAAGATACTCCCACTAAAGATTACTTTTACAGCAAACTGTGGCTGACAGCAGCCTTTAGCCTTCAAACAAGTATTTGAAGTCCTGCCAAATGTACACATCTCTTGCTAGCAGTGACCATCTTGGAGCCTAACCCCTGTCTGAAGCAGAAGTGTAAGAGCAAGTACAGGAAAATCCTAATTTGCTTTAATGATCCAGAACACTTGGATAGATCTATCTGGAAACACTGAAGTTGTATGGTGAGATAGCCTTGAAGCTGACTTAGTAGCAGAATGGGATTCAAAGCAGTAAGAAGCTGTGACAGTGATGCTGGAGTAAGTAGACAAAATGTTAAACATTCGTTGCCAGCCAGGTCCAGTCTTGCTCATTTTCCATTGGCCAAATACGTGAACATGTGTTATGAGGCGAGTCAGCTTTCCTTCCAAGAATCATTATTCTGTTTTCTTCCTGCAATTAGCAGCTGCAGCCATTGCAGACAAGAAAGCCTCAGCACTGCAGTGGATGGAGACTCATAAGTAGACGGAGGGACCTGAAGGGATTAAATACAACATTAAGTGCCTAGCTACACTACTCCCCTTTAGCATCCATTGGCCAAATCCAATATAATCGGAGTTGTAGAGAGTTAATCGCCATGAGAGATACAACCCTGACTAACCCCTGCAATCCCACGCAGAAAGAGTTCACAGTCCATAACAGCGTGGGAGTGGAAAAACATCTGCCAATATTTAGGTAGAAGACGCCTTTGGGATCCAACCCCAGGAGCACATGGAGCCATGAGATCACAGTGCCCAGGTCCGCTGCTTCCTAGGTAAGGAGCTGGCTCACATGGTGCAAAATGTGCCTGGCACAGGCATGGCCATCGCCAGGAATCCCCTCCTCGCACCAGCACTAATTCAGAGGGAACAGAGGGTGTTCAGGAAACTCTCCAGTCCTACAGGAAACATTTATCCAGTCAGCTCTCCTGCAACAGTCAGGATGCATGAAGCCCTTTCAAAGCTGCCTGCCAGTTCCAGGTCACGGGGAAAGGAATAGTGTGCCCTGAGGTTGCCTGCTGAAGTTATCGTTCCTCTTACTGAAGATGGATGCAAGTAACAGTCATTTCCTCTTCCATCTGTACTCCAGGGATGCTGGAGCGTTTCCCCAGCAAGCTGGGCTGTGTGGTATTGTACAGCCTTTCCAAACTTCCCCTGTTGGCACGACAGCACGTGCAGCTTACCAAGCTGAAGCAGACCACACTCAGCAATGAAGGAAGTGCCAGGGAAGATGTTAAGCAGAACTAAGGATGAAGTCTCAACCATCGTGCACTTCAGAGTCCAAAACACCTCAGGCAGGTTTCACTGACGCAGCAACAGCGGCCAGAAAGCAGCACGCATTCAATACCACCAGACCACCCTACCATAACAGAGCAAGCTGGACAGGCTTGGAGTGCAAAAAGTAGCAAAACAAGCACTCAGATTGAATCCCATAGGAAAAAAGAGCCAAGGGACTCCAGTCCCTTAACCCCCTCCGATGCAGAGACTTGTTTTGACTTCAGCTTGGATTAATTAAAATTTACATATTTGCTCGTTGGAAACAAAAGTCAGTAAATATGGTGCTTCAAGCTGCTTCAAGAAATTAAAACAAGTCGTTGCTACAATAAGAAATCCAGGAGGCCAACAACAGCCACTGCCAAATACCCAAGTCAAGCTGCAAAATTAAATCACCACTTGATGTGGCATTTCCTCCTGGTGACCAACCCTCTGAAAAGGCCATTACTCACCCCAGCCTGATATACTCCACCCCGGAGCAGCAAAATGGATGGGCAGCAAGCTGTTTAGGGACACTGACTCCTTTTCACAGTTACTGTACCATAAAAGCAAGTTCCAGCTTTCCCATTCTTCACCCCAGCGTATTGGCATCACATCACCCACTGCGACAGCACCGGGTGAAGATGGAGCAGCAATAACACTGGGTGAACACAGATCCCTTTCTTTAGCATGTGTCACCAGCACTATCTTCAAATTAGGTCCTCCTTTTAAACCATCTTTAAGATTAGTTAATTGCATTTCAAGCAATGGGGCAGGGGAGAGAGGAACGGTGCTTTCCTGTTTATTCTCGTCAAGAGAGGCTTATACACTTGCAAGTCGAACGGTGAGAAGTTTGTTACTCCAGGATATAGTTATTGCCAAGTATGACAATTTGAAGGTACTTCCTATTAATGTGGTAACGACCATATCCTGGGCTGATACACTTGGAATAAATGGTCTGCCTCTGGCATAATTACTATACTGAAAACAGGAAGCAGCTTTAGGTTGTAGAGTAAACAGTAATTATATTGCATTTTAAATGAAGTTACATAAGGCTGGAGTAAATTTCTTGCCAGTAGCTTAAAAAAATTATACCATAGATCTGGACATTCCTG